GTCTGACAAACACCATCTTCAGTAAGAAGTTTGAATAACCGCCCAACTGAGCTTTCGTCCATGGCTAGCTCGGGGGTTGAACGTGTCTAATTTGCGAAATATAGTGGCGCTAGGGGAGAGGAAGAAGATAGTGTCGGCAGCGACTTACATGAAGGGATGTGCAATGGTTTCTAGACATGGAATCTATGCAGCTAGCTAGGATGGAGGTACATCAAGCTAGGAGGTGGACGGAGGCTATGCCAGTAATTATTTGAGAAACGTGTGAAAAATTCCCCATAGTAAATACTGAGACCTTGTCAAATCATAGTGTAATCTTGCAATTTCCGCTTAAATAATGCTGTCATTTGGCAGTCGAGTTCTACGTCATGATATTTCTCTTGTTTCACTCATTTGATACATTAGCACACGCTAATATAAACTTCTTGCAATCTTGCAATTTCCACTTACATAATTAGATAAACTTTGAGTACACATTAACTTTGATGCTTTGAGGCTTTGATTATCTTTTCTTCCGATAAAAGTTAATATATATTATCAAGTTGATACCAAGTAAACCTGATATTTGCAAAATCACAATGTTCAGAGCTAGTCGAGATATTGCAGTGTACACAAATAAACTATCTCTACTACTTAAAAAGAAGAATGTAAGGTTCCATGTTTCACTTTTCTTATTATCACCCCTTCTTCCAACCTTCCCCGTATGATAATCAATCACCTTAATTTACTAACCTTCTAAACCAATTCCACTTCAATTTACTTACCAAACTTCTCATCAAAATATAGGGTAAATCACGGGCAGGATTTGATAAACATTTATTTACACAATCACATTAATATGGGCAAGTAAATCACAAGATAACATACTAGAATATTTATATCTCGTTGGAACGCATGAGTATTGTCCTAGTATATACTCCCTCCGTCCAAAAATACTTGTCGGAGAAATAGGTAAAAAATGGATGTATCTAGAACTAAAATGCATCTGGATACATCCATTTCTCCAACAAGTATTTTCAGACGGAGGGGGTACAGAAAAAGATATGACTCCGTTGAAGCCATCAACGGTTTACTACAGCAAATCATAACATTAACCACCGCCATTGGCAACACCGGGACTGTGAGAAAGTTTCTTTAATAGCAACACCCTCTAGAAAGGGAATAGTGCACGAACGCCTTCATTACATGATCCAACAAATGAGGCTAGATCAAGGGGTTTTGCCCTAGAGTTAGAGTTTGAGTAACGTTGTCGGGTACAACAAAATCTTCAATGTGGTACGATGTTATCTTATCTTCAACCGAACTAGGTAAAGATCTATAATTGGTCTCCAGAGTTAGCGCATCAATCCTTATCTCCTCCGAGTGCCTGCCTTGGCACTACTAAGGGCTTGTTTGGGACTGCTCCGCTTCACCAAAATCGGCTTCACTCCACCAAATTCACTTTGGAGCAGTTTCATACAGAAGTTGTAGCACTACCGAAGAGAATGTTTGGCTTCCATGTAGCTCCAGCTTCAAGAATGAGAAATTTGGTGTAAAGGATCTATTTGATTGGTTGATGGGTGGAGAAACGAAGGGGTATCCACTTACTGGTGGCAGTGGGGGGTAATTTTCCCCCAACTCCAGCTTCTAGATTTTTTTGGAGCACCCCCTGAAAAGCTTCATAAAAATTTGGGAGTTGTACCCCAGATTCTACTTTTTTTGCGGAGCCGCATATCGTGGAGTTACCCCATTTGGCTTGTGTTTTTTGAAGCGGAGCTAAATTTTAAGGAGCAGAGCAGCCCCAAACAAGCTCTAAGTGTGATGAACGGTCACGTACGTGCACAACTGAAAGTTATTCCTCAAATGTTTTCTTTATCGATGATCACATCGTAATTTCAAGTACTGTGGGGAGGCTTGTCATGAGTATTACTAAACTACTAGCAAGGTCCATTATACATGCATGGATGAGCTGTCACCTAGTTGTGCAAAGTTAATTACCTGAAGAACGACCATGCTAACTCCAGG